AGAGAGAGAGAGAGAAAGAGACAGACAGACAGACAGAGCCAGGATTACTCGGTAAGAAGGACATAGAATACAAATATAGACCTGGACACACCCAGTTCTAATCAGCAGAGTACCAGCACAGCACACAATAGTGTGTGTGACGAGGATGACAAGCCCAAGATCTTGTGTACGTGTACGTGTACGTGTACGTGTACGTGTGTACCTACCTGGGGAGTACGGACGGGGAACAGGCCACCGGCGTGCGGACAAGGCCGACGCTTCTTACCCGACCCCCTCCTCCTCCCTCTCCCCGGCCCCCTGGCGCCAAAGGTGATGCAGACGTAACAAGAGCGAGCCGAGACCGAGTACTCGGGATCGTCCCAGGGAAGCATCGGAGAAGGGAACATGTGCTACGCATGTGACGGTATCCGGATCCGAGGATTTGGAATCGCTTGGTCCGAGGAGGAGCGGGGGATTCCGGACTGGTGCTAGAGAGCGTTACAGGAGTTTGTACGTTATTTACATTTTGACGAGAGAGGTTTAAGGCGAAAGAAGTTGTACATTACATTTGACGAGAGAGGTTTAAGGCAACTGGATTTCTATGTTACATTTGATAAAAGAGGTTTGGAGCAACAGGAATTTATACGTTACGTACGTTTTGACGAGAAAGGTTTAAGGCAAAAGAAGTTGTACATTACATTTGACGAGAGAGGTTTAAGGCAACAAGAGTTGTATATTACATTTGCCAGGAGAGGTTTAGAGCAACAGGAGTTGTATGTTATATTGAACGAAGAAGTTTAGAGCAATAGGAGTTGTATATTACATTTGACGAGAGAGGTTTAGAGCAACAGAAGTCGTACATTACATTTGCCAAGAAAGGATCAACATTCGCATCGTCCCAGCCAGCGAGGGAATGACACAACTTCCCTGATATTCGGTACCATCCCCAGATACCCCAACAGTCGATCAAAGCCGAGACCAAACCCTCCGTGTGGTGCACTACCCCAGCGCCGCAGATCGACATACCATTTCAGGTCGCCGAGTTCCTCATCTGTAGGGATGCGACCGGGGGGGATCATCTTGTTGGCTTGCATAGCCTTGATGAGTGGCTCAAGACGATACTCGCGCATGGAACCACCGGCGATTTCGCATGCTTCTGGGACAAGTACATCGAAGCAGTCGACGGTCTCTTGGCCTTCTTCGCTGGTACTCGATGGCAACATGTAGAAAGGCTTGATAGCCTTTGGATAGTGGGTGACAAATACTGGCCTCACTGCTTCTTCTGTTACGCCTATCGTGTGCGCAATATAGCGTTCGTGTTCGGCTTGTAGACCCAATCCCCACTTGGGCTCATGCTCAAATTTCTGTAGGCCTGTACGTGCACGAAGGACCTTTATCGCGTCAGTATAGGTGATCCGATGAAAGCTGTAATCGCCGCCACGCCACCGTCGCAACAGTTCTTTTTCCGTCGGCTGCGGGTTTTGTATGTTTGCCTTCTGATTCTTGACCCCCTCTAGCATTTCAGTGGCAGCCCTTGACCCACTGTTTAGACTACCCGTGATGGATCTGAACACGTTCTCTGCGACGCGCATCACATCCTCCATGTTTTCTGTAAAGTTCAGTTCCGCCTCCAGCATGTAGAATTCGCTCAAATGCCGTGCTGTGTCACTCTTTTCAGCTCGAAATGTAGGTGATAATGTCCACACTTTGCCAGCGGATTGCGCAAGAGCCTCCAAGTGAAGCTGGCTTGAAACAGTGAGATACTTGGGGCTCCTAAAAAATGACCCATCGTTGTCTTTCCCCGTCTTCCCTTTATGTTCACTGCCAACATGAAAAACCTCGCCGGCTCCTTCGCAATCCGACGATGTGATGATCGGGGTGTGTGTTTGGATGAATCCAGTGTCGTTAAACATTCTGGTGACTGCCGCGATGGCATCTGATCGTAGGCGGAGCAGCTGGAAATTGCCCTGAGTCCGCGCCCGCATATGGGGCATTGTCCGCAAGTACTCGGGCGTATGCCATTTTTTTTGCAGCGGGTAGGTCTGGTTCATGTCCATCAGTACGTGGGTTGCTCGTTTGTTTGTGAGTGTAGGTCCTACATACGGTCGGATCGGCATCGCCTAAAATGTGCACTTCTTCTACCACAAGTTCATGGCTCTGGCTCCTCTTCCAGTATGTGGATGGTGTCCAGGATCCCGTGAAGCGCACTGCCGCCCCAGTATTCAAGCTACCCCCAGTGTTCGGTCAGCGCTGGACCTTGGGACTCGAGGTTGGACTATGTGCAGACCTCAGGGCTTGCTCGGGCTTCATGACCGCTTGTATAAATTTGACTGTCGTCCCATCACCAACATGAGCGAAAGAGAGGTCTTTCTGCTTTCGTACGGAGCGTATGTACCCATCGACTACTACTTTGCTGCCATCTTCAGGTCCATCCTCCAGGAGATGTGCGACCGAGAAACGAGAGTTGTGTCGGCGCTGGGTCAAGGCCTTCACAATACCTCGTGTCAAGCCTGTTCTTGGCCAGACTATCATCCCTCCCCCCTTTTCCTTTCCCAGGGCTCTGAACCGAGTGTATGTCGCGAAAATTCGCAGCTGTAGAGGATCGACGCTGCCTGCACTTTCGAGAGCTATGTGATAAACCTTCGGGGAATTGGATGGCGTTCGATCAAAGACTGAGTGCTGCCAGCACCAGCGAGCGCATGGGGCGGGAGGGTTTCTTGATAGAGGTCAGAGCTGGGAGGTCTGGGGTCGCGCTGCTTTCATAGTCGTCTGGTGTCGGCGTTGGATCCGAGTGAGTATCTTGAAGCTGGCGATGGGACCAAATATCAAACCTCAAATTTCCAGCGCGTGTGTTTTAGCGCTTACCGCCGAACAGCGGTGTCCAGACGCGCTAAGCGAGGCTCGAGGAGAAGGGCCGACAACGACAACGACAACGACAAACGACATCCTCAAGCCCCAAGTCTCTCCGCGTCCCTTACCTACCTCGCCCGGCCAGGACCTCGGCTGCTCAAAGAGTTTCTTTTCCTCAAATTTGCAGTATAAAGTTTGTTGTGTTGTCAATTCGCAGCCGCTTTAACATGTCAACGGCCCACCGCACAGGGCCCGATGCTCGCTTTTGCTTCTTTCGGTCACGTTATGCCTTGCCAAGGATCTGACCTCGCAATGCGATCCAGATAGAACTCGCCATGGAAGCTTCACACCTCTCTATCTTGGCTTTGGACGGATCTACTCCCTACTCCGTAGACTACTGTAGTAGTACCATTCTGAGGGGCCGGAGCAGTGGCCCATGTTACACTACATAGAGATTTGCTTCTTCTTGCTTGATCGCCTTTCGGCAATCTATGATGCAACCTGGTACAGAACACAAGGAGATCTTGGGACCGGGTTTGTGCATGCCGGTATCTGCTTTTTGCATCTTGGAAGCCGTTGCGCCGCCAATTAAAATTCTGCGCCGGCATTGAACCGTCCCAAACGGGACCGAACTGGCCATCTGTATAGGATGATGCCCGTCGGGAACAATTCCTAATAAGTCTAATCACAGCTGCGGGTCGTATGGCTTGCTTTTGGTCTCAGATGTTCGTTTTACCAATGTCTGTGCTTCCTGCGGATTGGTTCTCTTTTATTTTTTTCCAAATGGAATGTTGGGTCCTGCAAGTGCCTCTTTTGCTCCCCATCGTTCCCCATTTATATAATGCTGATTCATGTCCAGCTATCCCCACTGCACTGATTCATGTCCATCCAATTCATACAGCACGCCGCAGTCATTTTCAACTTCTTGAAGCTCGAGTTCCTCTCTTTTCGCTCAGCTGGCTTACATATATATATATATGTATATATAGATCCTATCCTGCTATATACTGGAACCTTCAATCAGACCATTGAAATGCCTCCTTCCAAGCCCAAGGCTTCTGAAATGGCTGCGGAAGCGAAGAAGACATACATTCCTTACATCCGCTACAACTTCAGTGAACAGTGGCCTCCGACATCCTACCTATGCTACTCGGAATCCATAGTCGCTTCACCCCCACTCAAAGGAGACATGCAGCAATGTCGTTTTGGTACGTCCCGTGAACCGTTTTCATCACGGGTTTTTGGCTAAACTGTAGGGTGGTAGCGTTTTACGAAAGAGATCCCGTCGACCTTGCTCTTGACTGGATGGAACCAGGAGGCCCACGGATTCCAGTCATCATGTCAGCAAACGAAAAAAGGCCAGGGGGGGATTGGGAAGCTAGTGTGATGTCACCAGAAGAATGTCTTTGCCGGAGAAGTAACTTGATCGCTACTCTGACGACTCCGGCTGCTGGGGATTGTCCGTCGAACTATCCAATTCCTCCCAAATGCGGAATCTACTCGGCAAATGTGGTAGTGTTTCGAGATGGGCCAGAGAAGTATGAGCCTTGGTCGGTGTACAAATGTGGGTCTGTCCGAATGCTTCCTTTCTCGAGTATCTTGCTTACTTGACTGCTCACTCAGCCTTGCCGATTATTTCCATCTGCCCGGTGAAAAGGCCGAAGATAGACGCTGAGAAGAAGACGTATACCTTCAAGACCGAGAAGGAGCTGATGAGAGATAAGATCCGCCTCGCGTTACGGATGGCCGTGTATTTCAAGCACATCAACCTTGTCATCGGGGCATTTGGCCTCGGATCGGGCTTCAAGAACCCTCCTGAAGAGGTTGCACTGCTGTGGAGAGACGCGTTACTCAAGGATCCCGAGTTTGTGGGTCACTTCCGAGACGTGGTCTTCGCTTTCGATTCGCCGGAAGGGACAGCCGCGGCAAGCTCGGGCTCCAAGTCAAGCTCGAAGTCAAGCTCGAAGTCAAGCTCGAAATCGTCGTCGAAGAGCTCGTCCTCCTTGCCCGCCACCAGCCCATCCGCTGACCTGGACGTCTTCCGGCGTGTGTTCAAGCCTGCCAACGTCCACAATGCTTTCCAAACACCTATCACTTCATCGATGTACTCACCTGCTTCCAGTTCATCATCCAGCTCGACGTACCATTGAACTCGGAAATCCGGATTAAGCGTGGCGTTCGGGCGTCGGAAAGACGCATTGTCGCTGGTGTTGCAACGTTGCTGGAGCATGGAGAAGTGAGGGTTTGACTCGAACCAGGGCACTGGGACCGTACACTTAATAGACTGATAATCTCCTTTAGTATGACCTACCTACATATTTTACTATGAAATCTCCATTCTTAGAAAAGGGAAAGACATTTCTCCATTTCAGGGCTATCTGTTCCTCCCGTCTCACTCGGCCTCCTGCATACGGAGGCCCTCTCACAGATGCCACGACCGGGGACTTTTTTCTTTACGTACGTAGTATTTTGGTAAAAGCTCACTCGGCCTCCTGCATACATACAGAGGCTCCTCTCACAGATTCCCAGGACCAGGAAATTTTCTATTATTTCTTTATTTATTTACATATTTACCATTACGATTTAGTTTTTTTTTTAAAAAAAATTGGGTTTTTGTTTTGTTTTTTTGTTGGGCCGTGCCCCAAAAAGCATGCACGCAGGGTCTTCCCCCCCCTTTTCCCGATCTGCTTGCCCGATCCTGCTTGCCCTGGACTAGACGCAAGATTCTCGATCGCAGGATCAACCAAGACCAAGTCCCGGGCGTCGGCTCTCGATCACATCCTTCCCCGGTTCGATTCGTGGCACCTGAGATGCGTCGTGCATCGTGCGTCGTGCGTCGTTTGCCCTGTGCGACTGGTCCAATAGATGGGGCTATCCTACCGGGGCGGTGGGCGGTGGGCGGCGGAGGGAGGGAGGGAAGGGATCAGCAGAGAGGCCTTACTACAGTACGGAGGTCCTTGGGACTTGAGACTTGGTACTCATGCATAGAGAATCTCACCTGGGAAAAAGTGCTAACGCTGCCCCATATTGTTTTGTGTTGTCTGTCTGTATGTCTGCATGTTCCCATTGGTGCTTGAGCGAGGAGTATGGTCACTAGTGTTGATTCAGCTATCGATGTTGTTTTGGAAGACAGACCTTGTCGAGCAGATACCGGTAGATTTGTTGCTTGCTTTTGCATCCTCACATCCTCACATCCTCACACCCTCACACCCTCGCATCCTCACACCGTACTCGATTCCAAGGCGGTAACGAAGTAGGTAAGTAAGAAGTGTGTGCCGGGCCAGGGCAGAAATCGGACTCACTCGATCGAGATTTGAGAAATTGGCCGTACGTCTTGCGCCAGCTCAAACCCAATCAATACTTCAGAGACAAATCTCAGGTTGATCAAGCCGGCTGAGGGAGAACAGCGCCCAACCCCAAACAGAACAGATGGAACATCAGCCGCAACGATCCTCGCTTGGCTGTATTCCAGGACTGAAGGCACGACAACTTGGAGGGAGCGAGGGGGGCACATCTCTCATTCACTTTAATCCAAAGTTCCTCATGCTCTAAGGATAGCGGGAACGATTCGAATCCTACTGCATGCACACACAACAAAACCGTGCAAGTAAGGCAGCCGGCGGGCTGACCGGCTTTGCTTACCGCTACAACCAAAAGGCAAACCCGATCACCGCCACACCCACAACCACACCTACAACCACACCGCTCTTCTTCCCCCTCCGCGGACCCCTTCCGCGCCGCCCTTCTCCCCCGTGCTGCTCTACGTCGACGCGTAGGACCGTCCCGGCCACGGCAGTCCACATTCGCCTCCCCCCTCAGCAGATGCGGGCTCGCGGCTCTAATGCCCAGGCCGTTCAAGCTGGCGTTCGCGCACCCTCCCAAGGTGCCAGGACTGTAGAGCCTGAATGCGACCCAGCCCAGCGTTGCGTTCTTCCCGGGCGCGACCTGGAGGAAGAGAGGGCTGATGACCTGCGAGCTGATTGTCGTGTTCATGCTGGCGAATGGGCGTCTGCTTGCGCTCGGTAAGGAGTTGTTGTTGTTGTTGTTGTTGTTGTTGTAAGCCGCCGCTACGAGAGCGAAGATGTTATCCCTGTCAGCGTCCGAGACAGACGGAGACGTTGAGTGCTCTGTCAACGCTAAACTCGTAGCTCCATCGGCCAGTCTCGCAGTTTTTGTTGTTGTTGTTATTGTGCTTGGGACATGCGAGACGCTCCAGGGGCGTGACGTAGGCGTCATGACCCGTCGGTGTCGGTCTGGGTGTTTGTCCATTCTGTACACTCTGCTAGGGCGAGAGGTGCCACCCTCAATAGTAGGAGCAAGCGGGTGATGGATTGAATCGAATGCATATGGAAGATTCCTTCCGAACGAGTTGTGGATTTGATCGACATGATTGATGTGGTGGTAGCAGGGTGGGTATTTTTTTTTTTTTCTGGCGCGGAAATCAAAGGACCTGACGTGTTGATTCCTTACGTACATTCTAGAGTCAGCAAGTAGGACGAGAGGCGGTCAGCAAGTACCGCCAAGTGGTGGTTCAGGAATGACGAATGGCCCGAGTTTGGCAAGACCGTCATCCTTCTTTGACATCAAAACCTTGGCGAGCGTTCGAGTTGTTGTTATTGTTGTTGTTATTGTTATTGGACCGAGCTCCTTAGCGAGCGAGGCCAGCGCCACTCCGCCTTCCTCTTTTTTTCCCCCTTTCTTCGCATCCTCTTCCTCCATTTCACTCAAGCTGTGAAGCCGAAAAGCTGTGAATGGCCTCAGATACCTCCTCAGCCGAGAAAGCCTCTTGCAACCCCAAATAGAACACTTGGTTGTCCGGCACCGCGGCATGGAGTACGTATGGCCACTTGTAGCAATCGGAAATCATATTGTAACATAGACCGATATGAATTATGTTTTTCTATTTCCGAACTATCGACCTGTACTCTCTGTCTGGTATATTCTCTATATACATACATGTCTGTCTGCCCCTCACTTACTTACTTACACTTCGCGTTCCATGGCCGAAAAAAGCTACACGCCCCCCCCCCCGCCCTCCCCACCTACCAAAAAACGAAAAAAAGAAAGAAAAAACGCCAAAACTCAACTGGACGCCCATTTACTATCATGGGGGTCCAGTCTACAAACCTAATTGAATAGGTTATTCCGACAGGGTGGTTGTCAAACTGGATTTCTACGAACTACGGATGTTACTGGCTCAAGGGTGTTTAACCACTGAGCCACACCTACCAATTTGACGGAGTTGCTGGCGGTGTTTGGAGATATGAAGGGGTTAGTGGGATTCTGGGGCGGGCTGAGGCGAGGCGAGGCGAGGCGAGGCTGTGTTTATATTTTGCTCTACACTCCGTAGGCGTGGATTTTGTTGCTGGCTTGTTTTCTCGATTTTTTTTCCCTTCTTCTTCTGTGGGTCGTGAAGGGCGAAGGGAGGGCTGGGTATGGATCTTTGTATGTATGTATGTATGTATATGAGGACGGCTAGATATAGTTTGGGATCTTTTCATGTTTGTTTGGAAGATGTAAAGATATATATGTGTGTATATATATGTATGTATCTACGCTCATGCTCATGAGAGCCCAGCTCTCCAAACTTCACAATGCCTCTCTCTCCCGGCCTCACGCAACATACCTACAGCCGGCCACCGAGGCCACTCTCTGCCGTCACCATCACTTCCTCTCCTCCTCTCCTCCTCTCCTCCTATCCTCGCTCGACAGGCAACAGCACCGCCAAAACAATCCAGCGCCCTGCTACATCCGCGCCCGCGCACAGCTGCATCTCCCAACGTCCCCAGCCTCCCGCCCTCCAATCTCAACATCCACTTCAGCTCAGAGGCGCAGACCTCGCTCGCAGGCGCGTACCGGAGGGTGGTGGTACCACAGCGCTGCTGGGCAGCATGTATCAGTACGGACCCGCTACCGAGACTGTTGTTTCCGAGAGAGAGATTGCGAAGACCGAGAGAATGGAGATTTGAGATTGGACAGATCAACGATGTATGCGTCGTTCCAGAAGATCGAGATCACGTATGACGACACGCTCCTATGTTGTCGAAGACGGAAGAGCGAATACTTTGCAGAATGGGATCTTGGCGGTGGCTCGGTGCCGAAGAAATTGGGGAGTGGGTGGGAGGGTTGCTGTTGATGAGGATGGGGTGGGATGGGACTCAGTGGTGGTGGTCATTGTGATTTTTGATGGATGTGTGGCAACTTGCTCGCAGAAAAGCGGCAGTATGATAGTGAAGTAAGTAGTAGGGCAAGTGATGAGTAAATGCGTGAGATTGCTTGCTCATAGCCCCTACCTCTAAAACATATATGGGAATCAGGGCACGGCGCCGCATAGAGATATAGAGCCGATCAATGCAACACGCAATACGCAATATGCAACAACATTTTCATACACATGTATATATAATAAATTCCGTAGACCACACAAAAGTCCAGTCTCATTAGTCAAGTCCGCGTCTTCTGCTTCTTCGTCTTCTTTGCTTGATCCCCCTCGTTCAAGCTCGGCTCTGACTCTCCGTCTCTCTTTCTCTTTCTCTTTCTCACCCCCCCATAATCGGGGGCCGGGTTTCTAGTAGCTCTCGGAATCGTCTGCGCCGAAGTCGTAGGGCCGGTCTGCACAGCAGCAACGGGCTCGTCGTGGCCCGACGACTGTGGTTGCACCAGCGAAGGAAACGCCGGGTCGTCTTGCATCGACGCAAAACTGACATGGCTCCGTGCCGAGAAGGGCGGAACCGACGTCCTTGTTCCTGGACTCGGACTCGGAATCGCCACCATGCTCACACTCATACTCGTCTCGCTCCTCGTCTTCGCCGCGGATGACCCCCGCTCCGGTAGTGGGGGCAGCGGGGATGGATTCGAGGCGTCGTCGCGGATGTCTCGGTGGTGCTCGGCGTCGAGTTGCTGGCTCTCGGTCAGATCATGTTGGGTTAACCGCCGCAACTGCGTCTCGAGGACTTCGGCTCGGGCTTCGGCTGCATTCGCCCGGTCCTCTGCCTCTGCTGCTCGGATCCCAGCGGCTCGCAATCTCGTCTCGGCTGCTTCGAGCTCCGCTTCCGTGTTGTTTTTGCAGACGGTCTTCTGCAGCTCCGCAGCGAGATAACGGCTGCGTTCTCTCTCGCTCCGGAGACGCTCGTGCGAAGCGCTGATCTCCCGCTCGTCGCTCTTCGTCTGCCTCTCCCACTGATCCAGATTCTGCCGGTAGTCCTCCTCCAGCTCTTTCAGCAGCCGCTCGAGCTCTTCCACGCGGATCAACGCCCTGTCCCGCTCCGCCATGATCCAGTGGTACTCCTGCAGCGACACTGCCTCACTCGCTGCCGGGTGTTCGGCCTGCGCGCACTCGTCCAGCTGTTTCTGGAGCTCGCCCACCTGCTCCTGGGCCTTGATGAGGGCGTCGTGCAGCTTGGTGGCCTTGCTCGCCGCCAGGTCTCGCTCTTCCCTGATGTGCACCAGGTCGCCCACGGAGATGTTGCCGTGCCTCACCAGGCCCAGGGAGATCTCGTGGGACGCGGCCAGGGCCGCCCTCAGCTTGTTGGCTTCGATGCGCACGCTTTCTCGCTCGACCCTGAGCCTGTTTTGCGTCCGCCGGGCTTCGTCTGCTCGGCTCCGCTCAGCCAAGGCTGCGTGGTGGGCCGCATCGAGAGAGTGTCGGAGCTGGACCGCTATCGCGTCGGCTGTTTCTGCTGCGGTACGAAACTTAGCACTCTCCTTCCCCAGAACTCGGGCTTCGTCGCGAGCTGCATCTCTCTCATACTGGATGTTGAAGATCTCAGTGGCTGTGGCATCACGCTCTTTCTTGAGTTTTAGTAGCTCAATCTCCGTCTGTTTAGCCTGACGGAGCGTGTCACTGGACGCTGGGTTCTGCGCTGCATCCAGTTGGCTCTGCTCTGTCTGCTCTTTCTGCTCTTCCTGCTCTTTCTGCCTGCGAAGCTGTTCGTGTAGCTGCACCTCCCTATCGCGACTCTCTCTCGCTTGTTCCTCAAGGAACTTGATGCGCTGGTGCGCTCCATTCCGCTCTGCCGTTCTCGTAGCGATGTGCCTGCGAGCCTCCTCGTTCTGCTTGATAGCAGAGTCGCGCTCAGAGCGAGCAAGAGCCAATTGATTCTCACACTCGCCGACACCTATTGCGGCACTACCAAAGTCGGCTGTAGATCGATCGGCCTGTACACCACCCTCGAGGCGTTCGCGATGATGGACGTCTCTCCTCTCATTTCTCCTTACCGCTTCATCCGCATTCTCCAGCTCCCCAACATTGACGACACCTTGATCTTCCAGCCTGTCAAGATGAGCCTGTAGCCGCTTCCGCTCCGTCTGGAGAGTGTCTCGTTGAGCGACTATTGACTGGAACCCGGCGAGGAGAGTAGCTATCCTCTCTCTCAGGTGGTCATTATCACGCCAGGCCCTCTTGCGGTCTTCCTCTGCCGCCTCCCCATCAGCAATCGCCGCGTTCATCTGCACAATGATCTCCGCCTCCACCACATCGGGATCCACAAGCGCTCGCAAGCGCTGTATCTCGGACACGTACCCGCCCTCGCCGTTGATCTCCCAGTCGAGCTGGTTGCGCTCCGAAGCCACCCTCTCCAGACTTTCCGCGAGCTCCCGCGTCTCAGCATCTCTCCCTTGCGAGCCAAGGATTGCAAGCTCCCTGATCCGGCCCTCGAGGGATCGCACTCGAGCTAGGTAGGCGCCGTTGTCGGGCAGCTCATCGTCGGCGACCTCCCCCTGGTCTGCCCCAAAGTGCATATTAATCAGCCACTTCAGCTCCTCCAGTCGTGTTGTCAGCACCCGCACCTGCTCCTGGAAGCCGGTGCCGCCTGCCACGGGTAGATCTATATCCATCCCAGCCGTCGGTTCTACCTCCACCGCATCGGCGGCCAAGTTGGGGCCTGATGATTCAACACTGCGCTGATCGAGATCCAGATCCATGCCGGAGATTTGTGGGTGGTGTTGCGGGATATCACGCACTTGTCGAGCCCATGATAAGAAACGTGCAGGAAAACTCTACAGAAGGCAGAGTCTGAGTCTTGTCTGTTTGAGCTCATTGTTCCTTTTTTCCTTTTCCTTTGACAGGTTATGTCTTAAAGAAATGGAGATCTAGCCGGTGAATGAGTGGGTGAGTGAGTGAGTGCGTGCGTGCGTGATTGTCGGACAAAGATGCCCTGTGAATGTGGCCAAATGCGTCAAAGCATGGATTCTTTATTCAACTGAATTGACGTTTTTTTTTTTCGTCTTTAGATTCTAATGTAATAAACACTGAATGGATTCTTAGCACTTTGCATAGGTAGATGTGACGGATATAGGTGGCCATCTACCATTGAAGAGGTATATAGGGAAGGGCAATTCTTCCAAAAGTGGTTGTGGATGATAGAATGTATACTCTGTATGCAAATGAACAACCCCCCCCCAAAAAAGAATGAGGAAAAAAGGGAGACATGAAGCATGCGTATCTCATAACAGAAGCCAGCAATCAGAAAATAGCAGAATCATAAATACAAAACCTACCTCTCTTTCCATCTCCTCCTCCTCCTCCTCCTCCTCCTCTTTCTCCCTCCCTCCTCCTTCTCAAAGAGGAAAGTAAATAGAAGCATACCTGGATATATCACCCACCTCAAACAAAAGTCTTGCTCTCCTCTCCGTCCACAATCCAGCTGACGAAAGAGAAGCCTTCAAGCTGGCAACTTCCATTGCTTGCGTAGATCCTCATACTTGAATGGACCGTTTGATAAAATCTACAGATCTTGAACCAATTGATCAACTAACGTATCGATAGCTTAATTTGGTTTTACTTTTAGTTTCCATGGTGTAGAACGGCCGGAGGTGAGGGGGTTAAGGGAAGGAGGGGAGAAAGGGGGGAGCTGTACTCACTTATAGCCGATACGACGACGAGGGTCCTGATCTGGATTGAAGCGATAGTATGGTACTCTTTCATTTTTCTGGCTGTTTGAATGGAAACAAAATGTATCTGATAGATTGGCTTTGTGATGTATGGTAGTGTGGTTTCGAATGCCTCGGAACATGCGGAGTAGATTCCTCCTAACCGTCGGCTCGCTTAGGTAGGCCTCCTTACACATTCCTTTCAGTCTCAAGTCCGGATCATGAATTTAGTTGGTCATCATCAGTGCGCTTCGCTGCCTGTCGACCTCGGTTATACTACCTCAGTGCCAAAACGAAATGTATAACACCGTTTCTTAATACTGCGGCAGAGCGAGATCATGATCTACTAGTAGGTAGTAAGTATCGTAGCTAGATTCCATACATGCCGCGTCGCAGGAGAAGCTAAAGTGATGTCTTTACGCCTCCGTATTGCCGAGACTGGCTTACGGAATTATACGTAGTAAGTAAGTAGCAGATGATGTACGGAGTATAACGCCGCGCTAGTAAAGGCACGGCGCTCTCGCTAGCTCGGTTGCGATTGCCGAGGTAGGTACGTAGTGTACGGAATACGGATGTTTATTGATGCAGGTCTGCACTGCATGCACACTTGGCCTTATGCATGCAAGCGCGCAGGCACATTTCTTCATCTTCTCAGGAACCGCAATGTACGTAGTATATGTGGACTTGGGATTACGTAGAGCCTAGCCTAAATAACCTAGTCTTTGGAGGAGGTTGGGGTGGGCTGCTTACACTGCCCACGTATACTTACAGTACTTAAGTACTTACTACTAAGTAGTAGGTATAATAACGAGGTCAGGACGTCAGGACGTACCCTGATAATTATCTACTCCCCCCTACTTTGTTTGATCTGCATAGTGTACAGTGTACTTGCTTACTTAGTAGTACTTACCATACCGACCTACCTATCTACCAATTACCTAATCCCATTATAGTTTCATACTTTCCCACAACTCCACAATTCTGCAGAGAACAAATCCCGGATGTACCGTAGTAGTAGTACTACTACGTACAGTAGATATGCCCTTGAAGAAAAATAAAAGGCCTTTGGCTTTCCTGAACTCTTCTCATCCATAACTCTATTGTCCTCGTCCCGAGTCCCGACCCAACCTCCTCGACAAACATCATATTCAGTAAGCAAACAATATCAACTATACTACTACACTTATTATGATTTATCTTCCCTTCCTCCTCCTCACTCTCCCTTCACCGCATCTGCTTCGCATTTACATCATTAGATATACCGGTATAACTCGTGGTGACCCTAGGTTTCAATCAACAAACCCGCTCGCTTACTTATCGATACCCGGCCGTACCTTGTGCCTTGCGGTTCCTT